GTTCAGGGGATCTCGTAGTCGAGCAGTCTCGACTAGAGCTTTCTTACTTGTTTTTTTTGCTTTTTGTTTTGTATTCACTAAGCTCTTTTTATTCTCAGTTGCTGCCACCGCTGCGCTCCGATGACGTCGCATTAAGGCCACTTGGTGGCCAACGTGGGTCTGGACCTGCACCTGCACCTGCACCTGGGATGCTGGGAAGCTGGGCCCAGCTGGACGGCAGGTGCATAGTGCTTCGCTTTTGAGCGCATTGTTTCCGTCAATAGACGCATTTGTGCGGGTCAGCTGGGCACAAAGAAAGCAGAGAGTGGACCAGCTCCGGGCCAACTGGAAGGCCGGACCTGTGCCTCTGCCCAGCGTAGGGGAACTGCCTGATATAGCTGCTGCTGTTTTTGTTGTCGTTATTGTTGTTGTTATGACTGGAAGCTGTTGGCCGCACATAATTAGATTTAATTTGCAGTTTTCCATATTACCTGCCCTGTTTTTGGGGCCACGTATAATGCAGCAAATGAACTTTGTTGTAAAATGGGTCCATTTAGTGGCACTGCAGCTTCAAGGAAATTATGAGCCATTTCGGGCTGATCTACGGCCATTAAAGCTGGCCGTAAAGTGGGCGAGTTGAGAGTTCTTTGGGCACTTTTGTTAGCGATTTACTCCTGTTTATTGAGCCGCAGCTACCCAAGTCGAATGCTCTTCCATTTCGTTACTTACTTTCCAACGTAAATAAGCTTTCAGCGAGCAGCACTTAAAAATACGCAAATTTATCGCTCATCTTTCATTTGCCTTTCAAGACATGGCGCGATTCGAGCTGGAGCACAACTCAGACAGGATGCTGATGGACCGACGCGTCGGCGCCTTCGGTCCATCGGGGCGGCGATAAACTCTTGGTTTTTATGCCACTATCATAATATGTACACAATAATTATTCCCCGGATGGATTATAACGTGAACTTGGCGCAGTGCAAATGCCACACAGAACGAACGAGCGTAAAAATTGCTCGAGCTGTGCCGTTGAACTCCCTCGGTTGAGGCCAATACCAGTCCAGAAGCAGCGAACGCACTCAAGCGCAACAAAATGGATATGAAACAATGAACAAGCAGCTGAAGCTGTTGCTGTTGCTGTAGCTGTTGCTGGGAAATGGAGCCTTATCAAATACTTGCTCAAAGCCAAGTAACTGCCTGTTATGGCTACGGCTACTCGGCGCCTGCTAAAGCCAAGTAAATGTTTGTTATTGCCACGGCTACTCAGGTCTCGCGTTTACCTTCTTTCCGCATTCCATTATGGCCTTCACACTGAGACAACGACGTGAACTTTCATTTCCTGTGCCAGCTGCAATGCATATTGTAAAACTACTCTTAAACAGCTCGAGCTGTTGATACTTTATCCAGGCTTTTAATACAACGTGCGAGATCTATAATATATACATCTGGCAACCCATATGGAGGAGATGGAGTATGGAATATGATATCACTCAAATGGCTGCCTCTGTCAAGCCCTCTCCCTACATAAGCCTCTCCTATAACGAGATACCAGAATAGTTGCTTCCACATAATATATATTCATTTCTAAATGATGGAGCGTCTCATTAAAATATTCTATAAATTTCCAAAATTATGTAAACTTCAAGCATGGCTTGCTTTCCAATAAATAGATGATTGCTTTCTTATCGAATGCCCAGGAAGCGACTCGAGCTGTCAATGCCGTACTTGTCGGCGCAAACCGGAAATTGTGCTCATGCCATGGCCATTGGCGCAATGCAGCACACTGCATATTCAAAAAATGTGAATAAGTGCTGGCCAAAAAATGCTGAAAAAAAAAAAAAAATAGAATTGAAATGTCAAAAAATTCCAACTCTCTGCTCCGAGTTTAGACAATGGTGCGTAATTTGCTGAGATGTTAAGTAAAACGTAATAGCTGGGAATTGACAAAGTCGCTTCTGGGAATCTGGGCATCTGCATTTGAATCTGAATCTGAATCTGAATCTGGATTTGAACTCGTCGTCCGAATTCCTTTTACGCCCGCCCTGTCAGCAGCAATAAAAGTCAATTGTCAGCGCTGTCTGGCATTCCTATTCGTTCGTTATATTTGTTGTTGTTGTAGTTATTTGTTGTTGTTGCTGTTACTATTTTCGAGCTAGCAGAAATGCTCAACATTGCATCTACAGCTGACTGCATCTGCCTCGCCCCGCGCCGCCTTTCCTCATCCCGGCTGGACCATTTGCCGGCATGCAGCTCTTCACCTGGACCTGGACTAGCAGCTGCAGCTGAAGACCATGCAACATCCAGCTGTCACTTAACATGTTGTCAAGCACCAACTGAGCACACGCCCAGCCCGCCCGCACCCCTCCGCCCCACATACGCACACACACACACACACAGATGGCAATTGTGTGGCAGCTCTGCAGAAATCAAAATGCATCATACTAAAACGGAAATGAAAACAAATGAAAAATGATTTTTACTTATGCGCAAATTGCTCCACTCCCAGCATCCACAGCCAGGATATGCACTCGTGCTCATTGTTGTTGTTGTTGGCTGGACACTTGCAGCAACTGCTCGTTGAAAACAAATTGCATTTGCACTCAAAGCATAGGCAACGTGCCAGCTGTTCTTGCCACACCTTTGGCTGCATGCCACATGCAAAACTGAAAGCAGAAAACAACGAGGCCAAACCTGATTAATTAGGAGAGTGTGGCCCGGAGTGCTGCTTTAAAAGTGAGCATTGAGTTATCTGATGAATCAAGGAAATATCGATTAGAATCAGCTGTTGCCGCTGATCGAGTGAGACTCAGACTCAGCAGCATTAAGAGTCGAACTGTATGCTGATAAATGCAACAACTCTCCATTTGCTCAGCCACGAACGAGTACAGGGTGGCATAGAGAACTCACAGAGAAAGGCAAATTTGATTGCCATATTTTTATCATCTCCTCCGAGCAGAGGCGGCGAACAACAAGCGCCAAAGGATGGCCCACTTTTTCTGTGTTTATTTATGTGTGTGCTGATACTTTTCAGTGGCGAAAATAAGCAGGCAACTTAATTAAATCAAGCTGCGAAGAGGCCGAGGCCGGCCATAAAAGGCGAAACCAACACCAGAAGAGGACACAATTTGAGCGGCGCAACAACAGGAAAACATGGCCAACAACAAGGCGCAAACAAAAATTTGTTCAAAAGGAGTGAAAATTCGCGCAAGAGGGCAACAGCACAAAAAAAAAAAGAAAAGAAAATTTGAAGTGCAAACAAATGGACAAATATAGCCGCCAAGCAACAGATCCATGACGAGGGATAGGCGGCGGCGGGGATGGAGCGGCAAGGTTGGGTTCCGGCTGGTCCCAGCAGCGACCCAAGGCAGCTCGACCTTATTTATAAATTAACAGTAACGATTTTTCCCGCCGGACATACACTTAAAAATTTTGCAACCATAAAAGATTAATATAGTATATGGTAAATAGAAATATATACATAAATACATATATATATATATATTTTTCCTCCTGGTTGCGTTGGCGGCAAAAGGAAACCCGGACAAGGCCCTTTACCGTCGCTTAAGCAAATAATTTCTTTTCTTAGGCATCGCAGGGGCGCCATAGCTTTTATGCTTGCGCTGCTTCACGCCCAATGGACTCCGCCCTCTGCAGTGTTGCTTGACCAAGCCCACTCTCTCCTTCACTCTCTTTTGCTCTGTCTGTCTCGTTCCGACTCTCCATATCTCCATCTGCCTGTCTTCGTTTCGTTCCGTTTCCTGTTGTTCGCTTTGTTTCTAGTTGTCCGCCCTCGCTTGTTTGGCCTGCACTTCTCACGCACTCACTTTTGGGAATTTGCCGAGCACTCTGTCTCAGCTACTCGTCCGCATTTTAAAGACCAAGGTGCACTTAAAGCGTTTCCACATTTGTTCCTGGAATGTTCTTTGAATCTATGCTAAACTGGAAACATTTCCGTATTGCCACGAAGTAAATTAATCTCAAGAGCCTTCTTGTCAGAGTGACCTATTTTGATCGGCAGATATCTGTCATTCTGACATTCCCATAAGCCACTCGACTGAGTTTCTATTAATGTGCTGGCTGATAAGATAAGGCATCTATCTTCCTAGCTTAGGGGCAGCACGCACAATGATAAGGCAACGCGACAATAATGTATGTGTTCAGGTAGGTTCTGTACAGAACCTGAATATTGAATATATGTGATATATAAATCGTAATATATATGGAGACAATGTGTAAAAACAATAAATAAATAAATAAAGTAAAATATATAAAAATTATATACCCTCTCTCTATCTCTCTCTGGCAAGCCTTTCTGGTTATTCTTTTTTCCTAAACAAGTATATATCGCTTGCTTGATTTATAATATGCGAATCAAGTATCAAGCAATCAACTGATTAAAAACGAACCAAATTAAGCAAGTTGTCTTGCCTATCTAGAAAAACAGCTGACTTCACGCTTACAACAGCAAACCTGATCTTCAAGTTTCTCTTGTGCCGAAGCTCATCATGCTGATGAGGCGCTTTTTGTTTGCCAACCGAAGAGAAAAGCTCTCTGCTGCTGATAAGCTCACACGCCTTGCAATCGCTGAGAGAGAGGGAGAGAGAGAGAGAGAGAAAAAGCACGCTAAAAAAGAGCTTTAAAAGCGAGCCACATCGAAAGCACAAGCTCAGTCGATAGTCAGAAATCTAATAACTAGTAGAGCCCAGTATGAAGTGCCTAACGCTGCTTTTCTTGGCGCTGATAACGCTTGTCGGCCGTGCTCCATGGACAGAGGGCGCCAAGATCTTGGCCACATTTGCGTTTCCGGGTCGCTCCCAGTACATATTTGCCGAGGCGTACTTGAAGGCGCTGGCAGCACGCGGCCATGAGGTCACCGTGATCAATACATTCGAAAACAAGCCAGTGCCGAATATGCGATTTATATCGGCGCCCAAAATACACGAGCATTACGCAGGTAAGAGCTGAATTAAAGATTAGGTTATGCAAACTTTGCCCACTTATGTATAAATACTCCCTCTCAGAGGCCATACAGCTAATGCAGGCCGACGAGTCGTTCTTGCAAAAGCAGAGGAGCTTCAGCTGGCTGCTGGAAATGATAGCCGAATGCCTGTTGGAGAACGAGTCAGTGCAGGAGTTGCTCAGGTCCGGCGAAACGTTCGACTTGGTCATTGCCGAGGTGCTGCACACGGAATCGCTGTACGGCTTCGCTCAGCACTTCAATGCGACACTCATGGGCTTTTCGACCTATGGCACCGATTACAATATCGACGAGCTCATGGGCAACATATCGCCGATGGCCTACAATCCGCTTATCAGCTCACCTCGGTCCAATCCCATGAGCTTCGTCGAGCGTCTGGAGAATAATTTGGAAATTTGGCTAGAAAAATTAATGTACGTGTTCTACCACTATCCCAAGATGGAGAAACAGTACTCGAAATACTTTCCCAATGCAACACGAACTCTGCCCGAGGTGCTGGATAGCTTTACCCTAATGCTGCTGGGCCAACATTTCTCCGTGAGCTACCCGAGACCGTACCTGCCCAATATGATTGAAGTGGGCGGCCTTCACATCTCGCACAAGCCGAAGCCGCTGCCCGAAGACATCAAACAGTTTATCGAAAGCTCCGCTCATGGCGTCATCTATTTTTCGTTGGGCTCCAATGTGAGGAGCAAAGACTTGCCCGTGTCCACTAGGGATACTCTGCTCAAAGTGTTTGGCAGCCTCAAGCAGCGAGTGCTCTGGAAGTTCGAGGACAATCTGCTGCCCGGCAAGCCGGACAATGTGTTCATCAGCAAATGGTTCCCCCAGCCGGACATCCTGGCGCATCCGAATGTGAAGCTCTTCATCACTCACGGCGGCCTGCTGAGCACCATGGAGAGCATCTACTTCGGCAAGCCGGTGCTGGGGCTGCCCGTGTTCTACGATCAGTTCATGAACGTGAAGCGCGCTGCGAGCATGGGCTTCGGCCTGGGCTTGGATCTGATGAATCTGAAGGCTTCAGAGCTGGAGCAAGCGATCAACACTCTGTTAACTACGCCCAGCTATGCGAGAGCTGCCTCGCTGCTCTCCAAGCGGTACCTGGATCAGCCGGAGCCGGCCCTAGACCGGGCCATTTGGTGGACCGAGTACTTGACCAGGCACGAGGACCTCTCCCACCTGCGCGCCCCCTCGCGGGACATGAGCTTCATCCAGCTGCACAGCCTGGACACCATGTCGGTTATTTTGGGCTTGCCCCTAATCGGATTGTATCTGCTCTTCAAGTTGACTCGCCTGCTGCTGCGCGTGCTCTTTGGCAATAAACGAAAAAATGCGAATAAGCAAAAAAAGCACTAAGACTCTGATAAAATACTGATCTGAGAACAGATAAGGGTATTCTGGTTTTATGTCCAGGCACACGGATTTCCACAGTGAGGATAAATTGTTTTATTATATAAGTAAAAACTGTAAATATTCAACATGCATTAATTAATAAAATTGTAAATAAATTTTGCTATGCAACTCAGTTGTCTCTCATTCCTTTTTAATTGATTCTTACAATGCACACAGGCACATTTCAAATCAAAAGAGAGCAACAAAGTGCTGTAATGATATAACAAGCCCAGTCGATGTGCTTCGTAACATTAATTGAATTGACTTTGGAATTGGAATTGACATATATAAACAATATTCGTACCCGCTCACAAGGTCACGTTGCCTAGGTCCGCAATAAGAGCGACAGAGACTTGAGATATTAAATGATAAATGTCGTTAAATAACAAGCTACATCTCTGTAGTTGAGAACGTTCGATGCTCGTAATATAATTAAATATTGATATTTATCAGTTGGATTATTAGTTAGATTAGATGATATTACAAACGAAGCTTGACAGCATTCAAATTGCAAATCATTCTAAGCGGGAAACTAGAGAGCTACTGCTCTCTACGATAAAGCTGGGGATATTAAAGCCGATTTCTCCCAAGAGGAATGAGTTTTGTATATTAAGTTCACAATCAGAAATGCGCAGCAGCCAGTTTTTAATTCAAACGCTAGATTAAATTTTATTTGTATATTATAAAAATAACTAAATAAACATATAGATAGATCAATAAATAAAAAACAAAAATTAATTAAAAAAATAGAAAAAATAAAAGAATTAAATAAGTAACTAAACAAATATTTAGATGAATAAATAAATAAATAATACATTAATTAATAAATGAAATGAAATTAATAAATAAAATAAATAAACAAATAAATAAATAAATAAATAAATAAATAAATAAATAAATAAA